TATCTCAATATATTTTATCTATTTTTCACTTTCTCTGAAATGTAATTGTGTTTGACACTTTAAAGACATTGCGATGACATAAATTTAAAACTATATATCTTGTAAATTATAAATCCATATATAGTTAAAATCATAAATGTAGATTTCATATAGAAATACTGATGTCTTTTAACAGAAAACCTTTAAAATGTACATTAAGACTTGGGCACAGTGGTGCATTCACAAAGCTGAGACAGGATGATCAGGAGTTTGAGGACAGGCTGGAAAACTTAGTGATATCCTGTATGAAAATCCTGTATGGAGCACAATTTCCAGCTAGTAAGCAATGTAACAAGTGTCTGGACACATCTGAATTCTATGGGCTTTTAGTCACTTTGCAAATGAATTAATGCCTTCACTGAAAATTAAAAACCATGAATTTAAATCACAGCTCTTAAAGTGAAGAAAATTGTATATTAAAGGTACTATACTTGGAAAAGGTATTCATAAAATTCTAAATAGGGCATTACAGCTCTATGTATAATCTTTGAAATCAACATACATCAAATAAAACAGAAAAGTCTCAAACAAAATATAGAGAAACAAAATTATAGCTAAGCAAATATTCCATCAGTCCTGGGATGAGAAATTATTAATCTTATAATTTTATAATATCTTTTCTAATATTCATATTTTTATTACTCATACTTACATATGTAGGACCTTTGTTCACACCTAAAATGAATCAGACTTCCTGATACCATGGTGTATATGCAGATGCATTTGCTTATAGATAAAATGTATGATTGCAATTTATTACAAAGGCTCCATGTATAACATTTGCAAGGTCCTTGTATTAGAGAAGGGCAGAAGCAATAGAGAAATCTTGATATCCTGCACTTAATCTCAGGGGTCAAGAAATCAGCCTGACATCCTCTCTTCTAGATTCTTGGTCTTTAAGAATAAATTCTTGCTGTTAGAATGAAGGAAAATAACTTATTTAATAAGGAGCTTTGGATATTGCTCCCCAGAGATTCAGAGAAGGTAGGAGTTGGCACGGGACACACTCAACAGCCCTGCCCAATCAGGAAGCAACAGGTGAGCCTCCTCCAAGAGATGATCCTTCCGGACTAGGAGGCTGTTGACTAGGTCAACCTTTCCATCCATCCATAGAATAGGTCTTTATCTTCAACATCTAGGTGAGATGCTGAGCATTATGTCATTGGATTGAAACAGGTAACTGACATCTCTTTCATTAATGTGTTGGGAAGAAGAGTAGATATTTTACTAGAATTTTATTCTGGAGAAGCATTAAGGAGAGCACACACAAGACATTAAGAGAATCAGGACCCGCATGCCTCTCCGGTCAACTGCCACTATCCCTCCTGACACATTCTCATATATGTTTCTACCAATACACAATTGGCTGTCTTAGGGCTGCTCTCCCACTTTCCACCAATTCAGGACTTCTTATGAGCAGAAGTCTTCCCTTCCAATAATATGGTGAACATCATATTTACCTGAGTTCTTGTGGTGGTGTCAGGGAGGAATCTGGGTAACCCAGAATGGGCTCAAACTTGGTGACCTCCTTGTTCTAGTCTATAAAAGGGCTGGATCTACAGGCATAAACCATCACACCTGCCTTATATTAAATGCTTAAAATGCAACACACTGCAGCTTTTATTATTTGGAAAATGGCTATAAAATACAACAAAAAGATGTAGGAGAACAATGTATTTCATGGAACAGTGATCATTTCTAAGAGAAGGAAAAAAGTTTTGTTCAAGTATATGAAGTAAGCAGCTTCAAAAAATGCTTGTATTATTTTTTCAATAAAACCAACTAAAGAAAGAACAAAGAAATATATGAATTTTTTTCTGCTGACCATGAAATATTGAAGCTTTTCATTATTGTCTGTCTGTACTTTCTTATTCATGCATAATCTATGCATGAGAAAATGTGCATATCTGTGCACATTGAAATACATTTAAAATTTCTCATGATGTAGATATTTTTTCATATTTTTTCTTAACTGGTATGGCAGCATAAACCTGAAATCCACCATTCTGAGCAGGTATGGTAAGAGGATCACAAATTTCAACTCAACCTGGGGAAATTAATGAGATCTTATCTAAAAATAAAAATTAAAAGAGGGCTGGGAATATTAGTCACAGTACAGGTCCTGGGTTCAATTCCTGGTACTGACAAAAAAACCTACATTATAAGCCATGTGTGGTGGCACTTGCCTGCAATCCCTGCACTGGAAGGGCTGAGGTAGGAGGATCTCCAAGATTCAAGGTCAGCCTGGGCCACATACTGATTTCAAGGCCAGTCTGCAATGCATAGTGAGACTGTGTCTATTAAACCTCAAAAACAAACAAAGCAACAAACCAACAAAAAACCCTTTAGGGTAGATATTAATAATTATTGTGACTTATGTATTAAATTTACTTGATTAATTTGCATTGCTATGATGTCCTTATATTTAGTGGACAAAAGAATACTGATATCTCCGATGTCTTTCCTTCCTTTTTTTTTCTACCAAGATTCCCAGGAGTAGTTTTTGAAAACTTTCATTGCATTTTGCCTTCATCAACCTTGGTATTTCCTTTATTTTATTTCATTTTTATAACAATTGGCATATTTTAATATTCAAAATAATTAAGTTCATTATGCACGATCAAAATATAGGACTTTTCACACAGGTACAAAGCACCCAATTCAGCCTTTCTGCCAAATTTGGAATAAGAGTTAGATATAGAGTACATTTTACAGTTTCTATACTTCACAATTTTATGCATTTTCTTTGTAATTTATATATGTCACCTTGCTTACTTGATTACCACACCACAAATCTATACATCTTCAGAATACAGAAATTACAAAAGCACAATAATCATTATGTGAATAGGAAAACGTTTGTGAATTAAACTAATTTAAGAAAAATAGTAAAACCCTCAGGGTTTATTCACTGTAGTACCTGGGACTAAACTTAAGAAATAAAAAAAAGAAATCAGCCAGTGACACTTCTATTATTGATTGAAAACACATTTTCAAATTAGAGTATATTAAGCACAAAAGCTACAGGAAAAATTGATTCAAGTCTGTATACAACCTTCCAACAATAATATTCATAATAATGAGAAATTAAAAACAAATGGAATGACTTATTTCAGATTTAACTGAAATATGCGCTATAATTTAGAAATGTAAATAACCATTAAAATTGAAATCTTGTACCAACCCACCTTTCTCTTTCATTTCTCTAAATGCAGCTGCTCCAAACCATCTCTTCTTTCTCATGGGAAAAAATTACCATGTGTTATACTCACCAAAGACACAACACACACATACATACGCACACACACACAGATGTGCGCCCGCGATAGGAGAGGGTTGCATGATGATCACATTTGCTCAGTACTATGCTGGTATTATTGTTGCATTTATTTCTCATGATTGAAACTTCTACATGAGGTCCCTCAGGTATTAGTGCAAGAATAAAAACTGTAGATATTTAATTTATGCAAACTGCTGGCTGGAGATGTATATATTATGAAATGTTTATCACACCACATGTAAAGGACACATCTATCCAGCAGTTCCCATTAAACAATTGAGGACACAAATGCTTCTCATCCAACTAAAGGTTTTTCTCATTCATAAATTTATTCTGGGGTCATAGCTTAAATTTAGAGTATTTGAGTCTATTAAGCCACGAAATGATCATCACTATCACAGCTGTTTCTCTCCTCCCCAGGAAAGGAAGACCACTGGTCTCCAGGGATCCTCTTAGAAAGCCTGATTATTATTTTGTCTTGTGAATCTGTCTTCTAAAGTACAAGAAATCTGTTTTCATAGAAGCATCTGCATTTCATTTGTTCTGTCATTTAGCTATTTGGTATTTGTTTACTATATTTATTGATGTGCCAACTATTCCATTAAGGGAAGAAGTTCCCTTAGTATGAAGCAAAAACTTTCAGCATTGTTACCCAGTTTCTCTTCAAATTTCAGTAATTGCAAAAGTGATTTATTTTCATCTCTAAGTAGAGTCTTACAAGCTTCAAGTTTATGATTAACATTTTCTAAATTTTACTTTTATTCCATTGAGAGGGTGCCTTCCAACTTCTATAATTAATTTAATGGGTAAAGGAAAGCATTCCCCCAAAACAAGGGAAAACTTCAAACTATGTTCAAGAAACAACTATTAAGGGTACAAAGAGAAACAGTGAGACTTTTGCCTTCATGAAGATTTCCAACTGTGTGCTCTAAAGAATAATTAGCAGAGTCAATTAGCCAAGTGAGTTGAATAATGATTCAGATCTTCTGTGCTGTGATGTAGTCTTTACCAAAGACTATGGATGTTGTGGCCATGATATTGTCCTTATGAGTCCATGGGACTGATGGAATCCATTATTTAATAAAGGCTTCAGGTGATTCTGGGGCATGACAAAGATGGAAACCATTTCTCTAGAAGTCATACTTGTTAAATTCATTCTTACCTTGTACACTAAGATCTTGACTTATGCACATTTGAGTTGCACACTTTCACAGACACATATAAGGCTGTCAGATATGAAAAGTTGGGGACTTACTGTATTTAAAAGCACTAAAAATCCTGAATGAACATTGATGTATTATTCTTTGTTAGTATCTCAGCACTTGATACAGTGTGCAAAAGAGTTGTTATTCTACACTATAGATGGAATGCATTTAGAGGAGATGTAGACAACAGGAACTGAGGAAGAAAATAAGCCACGATTTGAATGTTACTGTGGTTCACAATATAAATTACAAAAAATTAAACTACTCGTTCTCAAATTTAGAGATACTCCATTCTGGAGTGTTTGTTAAAACACAAATTACTGGTCCACATTCCAGAACTTTCCAAAAGTCATTAGGCAGTGTTATTAAGATTTTTCATATCTAACCTCATCTCAGATGTTGCTCCTTTTGCTTCTATAGAAATCATTTATTTGATTTTTTTCATCCCATGTTTTCTAGTACAATTCACCAGCATTATGGAACCTGTAAACCAAACAGCTGTTTCAAAATTCTTTCTCCTTGGACTAACAGATGACCCAAAACTGCAACCCGTCATCTTCATCCTGTTCCTGTTCCTGTATCTGATAACCATCCTGGGAAACCTGCTCATCATTTTGGCTGTGAGCACTGACTCCCACCTACACACCCCCATGTACTTCTTCCTTTCCAACCTGTCCTTCACTGACATTTGTATAAGCACAACCACCATCCCAAAGATGCTGGTGAACAACCAAGCACAGAACCACAGCATCTCTTACACAGGCTGCATCTCCCAGATATGCTTTGTCTTGCTTTTTGGTGCTTTAGAAAATTGTCTCCTTGCAGTGATGGCCTATGATCGTTACGTGGCCATTTGTCACCCACTGATGTACATGGTCATCTTGAATCAACGCCAGTGTGTCAGGCTGGTTCTACTCTCTGTGTTCATTACTACAGTCAATGCACTGCTTCACAGTCTGTTGGTGCTGAGACTGTCCTTCTGCACAGAGCTGGAAGTCACAAACTTCTTCTGTGAACTTATTCAAGTCATAAAACTTTCCTGTAATGATTCCTTCGTCAATAACCTTCTAGTATATTTGGTGACTAGCCTATTTGCTGGTGTTCCTGTTTTGGGGATTATTTTCTCTTATACTCAAATTGTGTCCTCTATCTTGAGGATTCCATCAGTTGGGGGAAGGCATAAATCATTTTCCACCTGTGGTTCTCACCTGTCAGTTGTGTCCTTGTTCTATGGCACAATTTTTGGAGTCTACATGAGTTCTGCGGTCAGTGACTCTTCAGTTAAAAATGCAGTGGCTTCAATGATGTACATTGTGATTCCACAACTGCTGAACCCTTTTATCTACAGTTTGAGAAATGGAGAAATACAGGGAGCATTAACACATCTCTTTAGTAGGATACCTTTTCTCTGATTGTGTCCTTCGCTTTGTGTTTGAGTTTCCAGAATTAGTTAATATGATAGAAATACTGATGAATTAGAATGTGTGAGATTTGCATTGTAAAGTTTTCCAAAAATTCTAGATCATATGTTTGCCAAGTGTGTCCCTAGGTGAGCATAAAACCTGACTTTCATATTTGTCCAAGTCTGTAATGTTTTTTTAAAAAAAAATCTCTGGATTTCATTTCATATTTCTGCTTCCATTGAAGCAGCATCTCAATGGAAGTTTGTTTTAATGAAATTTTATGGCTCTGTCTCAGACAAAGGATATCTGTAGTAGATGCATAGTGCAGAAAAACTTTTGAGCAAGGTCACATTAGTTACTACAGAGTAAATTCAGATTATTCTTATAATTAGGACCAGGAAAGTTGCATGCCACAGGTGACTCACTGTGGAGCAAAGGAACTGAACTTTCATAATCAATTGTGTAATTATTCAGTTGTTTCCTCAGAAGAACTTATGGTATTGTATCAGAACTCACCCTATTCAATTTCATTACTTAGGACTTTTATGAAATTAATGTATCTCAGTTGATTGAGAGGGTTTTGGGATAATGGAATGTTATGAGTAAAAAGATGGCGTCATTCACAAAGAATATAAACAATAACTCTAATATACTGACCAAATATAATTTTTGTCAATTACAATAACATCAGAAGTAGGGGATAGGTAATTTTGTGGATTAGGGTTTCATTTAGTACTACATTAGGAGTCTTTTCCTAGGGCATACTTTCCTCAAAGTAATCTGTCAATTGCAGCTAAGTAAGGTGCCATGTGCAGGACACCTCTGTCATGAGTTGAATGCTTGGTATTAAAATGAACTTTCATATTCTAATTCTAGCCACTTGGATTTAATTAATTAATTAATTAATTAATTAAGTTAGTTAGTTTCTGGGGATCATCTATGAGCCTTTATACTTGCCAGTTAGGCAGTGGAACCTCTGAGCCAAATCCCCAGCCCTCAGATTTATGATTTTGCCTGGTAAGAGGTTGAATGCTTCTTGTTGAATAAGTGGTCTTTGCAAGGAAATAGTTAATACAAGATTACCTATGTGGAACCAATATAGAATTTTGTATGTTCCTGTAGAGTATAGAATTAAATGAGATAAATGCACCCAGTGTTTGTCAGTATTATAACTATTTGTCCAAAACCCTGTAGTTTCATAGAAATCTAATGTACTAGCTGGCTTTAGTGGGTCATGCTTATGTTCCCAACTACTACAGATGCTGAGATAGGAATATCAGAGGTTTAAAGCCAGCCTGGATACTTTAGTGAGACTTTGTCTCAAGAAAAGAAAACAGAAAATTAATGGGCTGTTATCCCTTGTTTGTACAGTTTCTAATATTGTTTCTTTTGGACCTTGATCATGTCTAAACATAATAAATCAATGTATCTTGCTATTTAAATAATGATAATTATGTATGTGGCTCTGGGACTGAATACTAGGCCTCACTCACAGTAGGCAAGTGCTCTTGTACTGAAAAATATTCCCGATGTATGGTTGTTATTTTCTTCATTGAAGATCCAAGATTCTATCTTGGTTTTGGGTCTTGCATATATTCATATATTTTCAGTGCTCTCCATCAATTTTTCATGGTGTACAATAAATATATGTAAACTTTGGTATTGATGAAATGTGTATTACTTTTTCTATACCATTAAGAATAAAACTTTCTTCGTGTCTTTTGTTGTAAGTAAAATAATTTTATCAAGTGCTTGTGTAATTTTTCTTCCCTGATGTTCCTTTCCTTTAAAGGAATATATATGTTCAATATGTCAGCATAGATACAGTGATTTAATATTTGTGTAATAACTGTAGAGAATTTTAATCCCAATGATACTTATAATACCTAAATATTCTCAAAATATATTCTCTGGTCCTCTTTTGATTCTACTACTTGCTAGATAACTATCTATGTGTTTAGAGAACTAAAGATCTTGAAAAATATTGTCCTTGTTTTATTTCATTTTGTTTCCAAATTAAAGTATCAAAATCATTGACAGATTCATGTTGACAGTTCAATTTACCTAATCTGGTACAACTTGTAGGTCTCTGCAAGTGGTGGCATAAGATCAGCTGCAGAGGCTGATGTACTGTCTCCTAATGTACTGTCTCCAAATGTACATGAAATTCTCCCAGATTGAAAAATCCTCTCCAGACTTCTTATCCTGTTATTGCTTCTCTATTTATTGAAAAATATCTTCTGGGAAATCTCTATACTCCCTCTTTTTCTCCTTTAGTATTTTCCTGAGGTCAATCCTGTGAGAATTAACTGTGATCACTCATCTGTTTTTTTCCACTTGTCAGTCAACACTCAAGTTGCTACTTCTGAATTCAACTTTCTGTCATCTATTTGATGATAAGGAAAATGACACGAATTTACTCACCAAGATGACAGTTACCTGTGCAATTTCACCTACGGTGGTTTTTCTCAAACTCCCAAGAATTCTAAGTTCATAGACATAGGTGTAAATACTGCTCAAAACTTGAGTTCACTCTTTTTCACAAATGTAGAATCTCTGTGCTGCAGTAAGAAACTAGGTCTTCTAATGTCATTAGTTCAAGATACTACCCCCCCCACAAAAAAGATTAAAAGATCAAATGCAAGGCTAAAATAATAATACTCCTAGAACAAAAACAGAGGAAATGTTTCAGGTTATTTGACTGCATAATAATTTTTGAATATTTTTCCAAATACATAGCTACAAAAGTTGGAGAATTTGAACTGCATCAAATAAAATGCTTCTGACTAGCAAGAAAAAGATTGATATAGCTGAGAGACTAGAAAATGGAAGAAAATATCTGTTACCTATTAATATGGCAAGGGTTATTTTTCAGGATACATAGAGAACACAAACAACTGAATAATTAAACAGACACACACACACACACACACACTCAAGAACACACACACACATGTACACACACACATAAACATATAACTGGTCTAAAGATCTGCACAGACATTTCTCAAAAGAAGACAAGGACACAGCAGACATATTAAAAGGTATCAGAATACTTACTTGGAGAAATACAAATAAAAACCACAATGAAGATAGAAGCATAGTATTGTGTTTGTAGTCTAGGCTATTTGTTATGCTAAGGCATGAAGGTTGCTTGAGTCCATTAATTGGAGGCCAATTTGAGCAACACAGGCAGACCTGATACCCAAAAGATAAACTGTTTGCAGGGGACTTTGTTTTGTGATAGTGCATTTACCTAGCATGAATGGGGCCCCCAGGTTTATTCCCAGTGCTACAAAATTGAACAAAAAACATCATGAATCTCTATACCACTGCAGCGATATAGGCTGTGCTGAAAAAACACAAATGTGAAGTGGTAAGAATTATTTTTGAGAATATAAATTAGTTCAGGCACTTGAGGGCAAATTATGGAGGTTCTTCAGAAAAGTAAATATTGAACTATAATAGAAATCCAGTGATCTCAATGTTGAGTATATACTCAAATAAATAAAATAAATATATAGAAAAACACCTGTCTTCCCACATTTCTTGCAAAATTATTCACAATCATCAATACATAGAATCAACCTATGTATCAAGACGTGAATAGATAAAGAAAATGTGTTATATGAGGTGAACTAAAAATGATAGAGTAGATACTAGTGGTACAATACAGCCTTTCTAGTTCATGGGATCAAGATACCTGGAAAAAAATAAATTGAGTGAGGAGAAATAAAGTAGGTCTCCAGGGATCAGAAGACAGCTGACAGGTAAGCACCACTGTATTTGAGAGGATATAATCAGAAGACTTCTTGGGAAAAGGTTAATTGTTTAAAGCTGAGCCACAGTTTTATAGCAGACTATAAGCAGAACTACACTTCAAGGTTTTGGGGTGACCTTTTTGCAGGGACTGGATATAAATTGCCTATAAGAGAAGTCATGGTGAGATTTCTGGTGGCCAGACATAGACTCTCACCTTCTGAAAAGTTTTAACTTAAACTGAGATCACAGGGTGCCACAATCCATTATGGAAAGCCAGCCCCATCATCTGTGGCTTTTGGAGGGGGCTATTTCTGAAAGTGTTGGTATTAATTCCAGTGGTCTGCTTGAACACCCGCCCCAATGTCTACATGCAGCACAGCATTCAGTAATCTGTTTGCCTTTCCCATCTACCAGTGTGAGCAGGGATATAGCTTGGCTTGAACAGTTGTCACAGCCTGGGGTGTACAGCTGAAAAGAACTCTGAAGAAGGAGTGATACCTCACAAACCCACAGGTTGTACAGCCAGGCAGAAAAGCCATGACATGGAGCAGAGTGAGTGACACAGAAACTGTCAGCTGCCTGAGTGACCATAGCCTGAGGTTATAAACCCATTGACTGAACATGCCCAATGGGAAAGTTTGTCAGGATTCAGCATTCACAAGAAATAAAGTAAGCATGGACACAAAATAGATCTTAGCAGTGATTCCCTACCATTTTCTCAAATCTGATAGATTCTATTACTATTGTCTTTAGAAAGAATCTGTTCAATGTGTAACACAGAAGAGTATTTTGAATGATCTCTTTTTATTTTACTTCATGGCTTTTTTGGGAGGACAGGTTGGAGTTTTTCCTTCTTTTTGTATTTTTCTCTTTTGTTTGTTCTTTTCTGTTAATTTTATCAAATTCTATTAATTTTCTTCTATTCTTTAATAAGATCATTTATCTCACTTCTCTCTCCTCAATTTTTCTGTTTTAAAAATTTTACTACTTCCACTTTCCCATTCTCTATGTCCACCACCTTTACACAAGTTACAGTGGTAATTTGGTTTACAAACAACTTATTTTATGACTGCAGGGAAGATGGCTGAATTTGTGTTGTTTGTATGGAGAAGACAACTGTGGTTATATTTGTCACCCAATGTGGAGATTATGAATGGAAACAAACTTTTGTTGAACACTTTCATTTTTGAAGCAAATTGTAAATACAAGTGTTCCTGAATTGAGGTATAACTGTATAGCTGTTAAGA